TCCGCCCCCTCGCTGCTCCAGCTCCCTCCTTCGCGGGTAAACTCCGGGCATCCATCAGTCTGTTAATTGCACTAATTAGAGATCGCGGAGGTGTTAATTGGAAAACCCTGGTATTGTGCCTGTTTGGGGAAGAAAACGTCAATAAAAATTAATTGATGAGTTGGCAGGGCGGGTGGCGCGGGTTCGCGGCGAGGCGCAGGGTGTCGTGGCAAATGTTACGGCTCAGATTAAACGATTGTTAATTAAAAAGCGACGGTAATTAATACTCCCCACGCCATATGGGCCCGCGGAAAAAGCACAAAAGGTTTGTCCGAGTGTGGGACTCTGGTCTCTTTTCCTCTCTGCTCCCGGAAAAGCATCCCGGGCCTTGAGTGCCCCCTTTGGCCCCTAGGTAGGTGCAACCCGTCATTTCCGGCCGGGAGGGGACCAGGCTGGCTCCCAACCGGGTGTATCGTGGAGGCCAAAGCCTCAGGGGAAGTGGGAGCCCGGGACGGCCACAGAGGTCCCTCCACTTCCTGCGCCCTGTGAGGGCTTTGACCCAGCTTCCGACGGCGTCTGCTGGAGTCTCTGCCACGCCATGGCGCCCCTGGCTGAAGGAGTTGCCCACGTATGGACCAGATCCCCTGCCAAACCCTACATCACTCCCACAAACCCTGCATCATCCAAATAACTGGTCCATCACTGCTCCCAATGTGTTATGAGAGAGTGGTCTGGGAATGTTGGAATTAAGGATGAGTTTTAGCAAATTCTAGAAGAAAAAAAACCTGAAAATTTGTGGTGCCTCCTCCTTGGTATTTTGGGGGGGGGGCTCAGTGCAGAGTCTGCTGATCTCTAACTCTGTATGTAGCTGAGGCTGGTCTTGAACTCCTGATCCTCTTGCTTCTACCTCCAAAGTGCTGGGATTATAGACATGAACACCACATTAGGGTGTGTGGGCTTGTTGTACAGAAGAAAGAGTCTCCCGGTGATTTGCCCAAGGACACGCAACTGGGACTTGGAGCTAAGTGGTCTAGCCTCAGCTTCTCCCCTTCCCTGCTGCCATGGGCATTGATCTGCCCCTTGCAAAGGAAAGGGGTAACAGGAGTTGGAGCGGGGAGGAATATCTGAACGCAGAAAGATGGGAGAGGAGGGAACAGGGGTCTCCCACTACCATGTCAGATGGGGCCCTTTGAGATAAGGAAGTAGGGCTTTGAGTCCAGTGGCCTCTCAGTGGCTCCCAGCAGCCACTGAAATCCCAGGACTTTGCATCTACCAACTGTACTAAGTATTGTTCCTGGAACTCCCAAGTCAGATGAGCTCTCCAAACTATTTTCCCATGGAGAGAAGAGAAACTGAGACCCAGAGATGAAAGAAGGCAAAGGAATCATAGCTGATTTGTGACTGAGCTCAGGCTACCACCATCTCTCCTAGCCAGGGTCATGAGGGGCACCAGTGACATTCCCACTCCTTCACAGTTACTAGGCACTAATCTCAAAATCTTACTCCCAGTCTCTTGCTGGCTGGGCCCCAGACACCAGAGCGGGCTCACCCACAGTGCAGGGAACACCCCAGTGCTATTGCAACACCCTCTGGAGAGGCTGGTGGGAAGGCGGGAAGCTGTTGGAGGCAGGCAGGTGTCCCAGGGCAGAGGTGACAATTCCTAGAGGGACTGGGAGTTCCAGCCCTGCAGGTTTGAGGAGCCGGTATTGGTGGGTGGGCCGCAGCTGAGAAGGAGGTATATGGGTGTGTGTCAGTGGGCGATGGCCCCAGGAGTGGGGGAGGGGGCGGGCAGAGCACACCCCATGGGAATTGATGCCATTCAGACACCCTGCGGAAATGACTTTTCAAATGCATATAATCTCTAGCATGCAAATGAGAGGCTTGCTTCACCCTGTTTAATATGAATGTTCGGCCCTTGAATAGCTATTATTACACGCCACATTGCAGCAATTATGTTGTTCGCTGGGTGTCGCTTTGCTCCCCTGCCCCCAAAAAAAGATGAGAAAGAAAAGGACACCTGTTGGCACCCTCCTTCCTTTTATCTTCCCTTTTCCAAACTTGCTGTCGGAGCTACAACTTTATGGTGTTCCTGTGAATGTTTCGAGGGGACCACTCTCCCTCAGGGGAAGTAGCTGCCACATTCTTTTTGCTTTCTTCTGCATGTATGTACACCCCTGAGGCTCTTGTCTTTGTCCCCTGGGGCCCAGGAGTTCTCAGATCTCTGAGCCGCTTGTCTGGGATTCTGAGCTGGCAGCTGCTCACTACCCCAGCAGAGCTGGGTTGCGGGAGAGAGAGAAGAAAGTGGGGAGTGGGCTCCTGCTGCCTTCCCATTCCCCACACCCCCATCCCCCAGCGGAAGCCCAGGACTGAGTCGGAGAAAGTTGTTCCTGTAAGTTTCAGGGTGGGTGACTTCAGGGAAGGGGGCTGGAGCCTTGTGCTGTGGTGGGTGGAGGCCAGAGCCCACCCCATCCATCATCTGGCAGCTTACTAACCCTGGGGCTGACACAACCATTAAAGGCTTGGGACTGAGTGCTCAATCTCTTCCAAACCATCACCCGCATTCTCATTCTACCCTTGGCCCAGCGCCTTTCTGCTCAGGAGTGAGAGCCATCACTGCTGAGATTAACATGGACCACATCAAGAGTACAGGGTTACCCAGGAAGATACCCCCCCCCGCCTCCCCCGCCTCCCAGCCCCTGACCCACTATGACAGGACATCCAGAGGCACAAACTGAGAAAAGCTTTCAGAACAGTAGTATGGCCCCTCTGCCTGTACCTGCCCCCATACCCTCTCTTCTCCTTCTTCCAGGAGGGATAAAGACAGCAGGTGGCCCAGGGGAGAGAGGAAAAGGCCACAAAGTAGGGATGGGAAGATGCTGCTGGGGGCCTCCACCTTGGAAGGAAGTGGGGAAGTAACGCAGCTACTTCCTGCAGTTCCCCATCTGTTACCTGAAGGTCTTCATTCTTCTATTGGCTGAGAGAGACCATGTGGTTATGGGGTGTGGCTGGCTTCTCCTGGCCTTGCTAGATCCTGAGGTTCAAATGATAGGGTGAGTAGAGAGGGGCCCGTGAGGGGTTACTTGCCCTTAAAGAACTCCTTAGAGTTCTTAAGGCTGAGATTCATACCTTGACAAAGAAACTGACATTTAGGGAGTTTGAGACATGTGTCACCCATCCATGGTGCATACGATACACGGTCCCTTTAAATGAAGTCAGTGTTTCTGTGAAGTGGCCGTTGTTTTAGGGAACCTGTAAAATTGGAGAAGACTTTGTGTGTGAGATGGGGAGAGGGGGAGGTAAGATGAAGTCTCAATGCAGAGCCCAGGCTGGTCTTGAACTTGTGATCTCTTTGCTTTGGAGTGTTGGGATTCCAGGTCACAGGTGTGCGCCATCACTCAGCTTTAGAGTAGTTTTTGCACTAAATTCCCCCACCTTCAGTGAGGTCTATGTGTACAAGCTGGGAAGATATTGGACCTCCATAGCTACTAGAAGAAAACTCTGGCCTCTGCCTCCTACTCCCTGCCTTTGACCTGCCTGTTCTACTACCTTCTCTTTCTGAAGAATTTACAGAAATTCCTTGAGACACGTGTCTAAGGAGTAGGGATTTGGACATTGACCCTCTTCTTTGGATAAGGGACCAGACTATTAATTAATTTGGCTTTTAAAGACTTACTTTGTGTGTGTCTGTCTGTCTGTCTTTCAGTGTATGTGCACATTTGCATGGGTACCCACAGAGGCCAGAAGAGGGCATCGGATCCCCTGGAGCTGGAGTTATAGGCAGTTGTAAGCCATCTGATGTGGGTGCTGGGAACTGAACTCCAGTCCTCTGCAAGAGCAGTCATCATTCTTAACTGCTGAGCTGAAGGGATTCTCATGTAGCCCAGGCTGGCCTGGAACTCCTCCTCCCACAGCCTCCCAAACTCTAGGATTACAGGTGTGATGGCTTTCTTTCTTTTTCTTTCTTCTTTCTTTCTTTCTTTCTTTCTTTCTTTCTTTCTTTCTTTCTTTCTTTCTTTCTTTCTTTCTTTCTTAATTTTTCTTCCTTCCTTCCTTCCTTCCTTCCTTCCTTCCTTCCTTTCCTTTCCTCTCCCTCCCTCTCTTCCTTTCTTTCCTTCCTTCAGTGCTAGGGATGGAAACTAAAACCTTACAGAAACACACTCTGCTTTTTTGTCTATATACCACTCACCTCATGGGAGGGAGGGTCCTAGGGGTTGAACCTAGGACATCCAGCCTGCTAGCTTCTTTACCACTAAGTCTACACTCAGCATGATTTTGCATCTGTGAAATGGGCGTGGTAATTACAGTTCTTGTGAGGAGGACTCATGAGCTGTGGGTAGTGATGAATAGGACATAGTATCTACTTTGGGTTGGCCTGAGCGCTTTAGAATTGAAGGTGAATGGTGGGCCCAGGGTGCCTTTCACTGCTGACCCCACTTCTGATTGGGAGTGCCTGGCTCCCATAGGGGCTAAAAGGCAGGCAGATTACTGTGCTGATTAGAGCCTTCTGTGTCCTGGGGAAGCAGCCCCCTGCTCCCCAGGGAGCTCCCTGTCTAGGTGGGAATTTCAAAGGCCAAGGCCATTGCTCTGGAAGGAAAGCGGTCTGGTAGGTCCTAACAAATAGGGTTGCTTGTTCTTGGAGGAAGAGGCCAGAACAGGTTTAGGACCCTGAGGGGAGGGGAGAGGACCACTTATCCTCCCTTCCCCCATTCTCCTCCTACTGGAGGGAGGAAATACCTACAAAAGGGGAGGGTGGGGGGGGAGACCCAGCTTCAGTGTAGATCTGCCTCTAAACCAGGCCTCTAGGAGAAGGGATGACATTTAGAAGGGTCCCAGGAGAAGCCCCTAGGAAATTGAAGAGACACCCCAGAACTGAGAAGGGGGGTGAGGGAGTGTGATGTGTGATGTTGAGTAATGGTGTTTATTGGGAGGGGGGTTGCACTTTGGGTTGCTGTCCTGGATAAGAACCTGCCCTGCCCATCTATCCTTGAGCCTCAGCCCCTCCTCCTTTGTCTCTTCTCCAGGTCCAGATAGAGCGACATGATGGTGGAATCTGCCTCGGAGACAATCAGGTCGGCTCCATCTGGTCAGAACGGAGTGGGCAGCCTTTCTGGGCAGGCTGATGGCGGCGGTGGTGCAGGAACCACAGGCACAACCACAGGCAGTGCCGGCAGGGACAGGGACTGCCCGGGCAGAGATGCTGCTAGTGACAGCAACGGCGAGATGAGTCCCGCGGAGCTCCTGCACTTCCAACAGCAACAGGTAGGAGCAGCCTCGCCTCCCCAGGCCTCATCCCTCATTCTCCTGGCCACCTGGATGTCACTGCTCATGCCCAGCAGCCTGAGAAAGTCCTACCTCCAGGGTGTGGCACCTCTGGACTTCCTGAATTCTAGTGACCCCCCTGAGCCTGGGAAGCATAAAGGGGCTGGAGGCTCAAGTTCATGAAGCTTGGAACAGTCCCAGAAAGGGATGCCTAAGGCCCTTCAGCCCCCTGGGCAGCAGGCTTGAGAGTCTGTTTTGAGTGGGTGGGTGTTTTGGTTCGTACAGGCACATGGCTGCAAAATGGGCTGTACTAACAGGATTGAAGGGGGTGCTGTGTAAAAAGAAGGTGTTTTTATTTGCATTGTGAATCGTTCCTCATCTTCATTGCTACCTAGGTCCCGGTCTGAGCCGTGAAGATACTGAACTTCCAGGGAATCTGGGATGTATCTGGGAAGAGGCCTAGGGAGGGAGGGGAAAGGCAGGCCTGTCTTTTTAGGGTTCACACTAGAAACTCACTCTGTTCCCTTTCTTCTTCTCACCTCTCATCTGTACCCTGAAGTACAGGGTCTCAGGAGTTCAGGATTGCCTTTCTGAAGATCCAGGGGCACTAGGGTCGAGAACCTGGTTGGGTGATAAGTGGGCAGATCCTCTAGGTTCCAGCCCCACCCAGGGGGTTGAGTAGTGGGGGGATGTCATTCTTGATGAGTTCAGAAGAACCAGCTCAGCCAGTCCTGGCCTTGGGAGTCTTCTCTTTGACTCTGCTCCTCAAACTACTACTGGTGGCCTGGCCCTTGGGGGCTCAACTGGGAAGGTAGAACAGGAGGCTCCTACATGCCCCTTCCCACCAGGCATCCCTACAATGTCTTAGTTCCACACCCAGGGCCTTCATGATCCCTCCAGGACACCGCTGTCACTCACATTTACACTGGGGCTCCTCCTCCATACAGTACCCCAGTCTATAACCCCTAAGGCTTTGGAGGTTGGACTAGACGTGACTCTCATGTGCTCTAAGCTGATCAGGGGGTTTCAAAACAGGGATGGAAGGAACCTGTCCCAGTGACCTTTGCCACTAAATTACTGGGTTGTTAGGTCCAGAAGCAGGCAGGTGTGACACCCTTTTCACAATTATTCATGTAGGTGAGAACAAAGCACTGGACTTTAAAAAATCTTGTATATGTATTGTGTGTGCGTACACATATGCATGTGAATTTGGGTGTCTTCCTTAATCATTCTCTACTTTTTCTCACTACATTTATTTTTTTATCTATTTGGTGTATTTGTGTGTGTGTGTGTGTGTGTGTGTGTGTGTGTCTGTCTGTCTGTCTCATGCACATGTATGGAAGTTAGAGGATAGCTTTTAGAGTCAGTGCTTTCCTTCCACCACTATGGGACCCAGGTGTCAGCAGCCTCACTCACAGAACCATCACCCTAGCCCTCAAATCTTTTGGTTGATTTGTTTGTTTTTGAGACAGGATCTCCCTGTAGCCCCAGCTGGCTTGGAACTCGCTATGCAGACAAGGCTGACCTCAATCTCATCTGCTTCTGCCTCCCAAGTGTTTGGATTATCAATCTTATGTTTGAGACGGGCTCTCTTCACTGACCTGGAGTTCACCAATTCTGCTAAACTGGCTGGCCAGCAGGCCCCAGAGATCCTCCTGTCTCTGCCTCTCCAGTTGCTGGAGTGCTCTGCATCTCACTTCTTATGAGGGTTCTGGGGGTCCGAACTCAGGTCCTCATTCTTGCACAACTAGCACTTTATTTCCCAGCTCCCAGAATGGAAGACTTTAAAAATCACTTGCCAGCAATAGAGATGGGGGCAGGGAAGACCTGCCTCTTTCCAAGGGATATGGTCCTTGGGAATTGGGCATCTCTCAAGTCTCCTTAAGCAGGACCTTTGGGAGAAGAGACTCACTGAGTTGTGCTGTCTGCTGGGGATAGAATCCTAATTTTTTTCAACTGAAATACAACAAAATGTACCCCACTAGAAGTTTCCAAGGCCACTCATTTTGTTTGGCTGTTTTGTCTCCCTCCTGCATCTCTTTGCAAACAGAACGATGCAAAAATTCAAATGCAGCAGGAGGTAGGGGAAGATGCCAAAACTGGAAACTTTATTTAAAAAAAAAAACAAAGCTTGGTGCTGGCAAGATGGTTCGGTCTTGGCATCAAACCTGACAACTTGAGTTAGATCCCCCAGGCCCATGTGGTGGAAGGGGACAACTGACTCCTGAAAGTTGTCCTCTGAGACACACACACACACACACACACACACACACACACACACACACACACACACATACACGTTGTGACTCAAGCATGTGAATATAAAATAAATAAAAAATAAAATGCAATTTAAAAAATAAAAAGCCTGCCATGAGGCTTAAACACAGGCCTCTGAGTAGCTGTGGAGATGTTTGGGTGGGGAAGAGATGGAACTGTCTGTACTGATCAAGTTTCTGGGCCCTGCCCTACACATGAGCCGGGTTTTACCATGTCCATTCCACGTTCCAATTATTCCTGTTTGTTTTGGGGACTATCCCAAAGTCCTGGAAAATCCTATATCTGTTTCACCAATAACCTGGGATGGGGATTTGGAGGCAGGCAGAGGGCTGTTTTATCCATTTGGGCTCACTATGGGCGAAGTGCCCACAGCCAAGGAAAATATGTGAGATTTAAAAAGTTTCATTGGCTCCAAACTGTGAAAAAGAACCTTGTAAAATTAAAATTGTGAAATTTTCAATGAAAATGAACTACAGTTTGTGACTCATCTCTTCATCCCAGATATATGAATGAGGCTTTAGGGGAGAACTTCCAGGGCAGCAATTCTTGGTCCCCACAAAACACATACTCCTATTGATAGGGTGAACCAGTGTGATCTCTTGGTTCTTCCTCCCCTTCAGCCCTAAGCAGGAAGCCCTTAGAAGACAACTTTCAAGCTGGGTGTGGTAGCACTTGCCTTTAATCCCAGCACTCTGGAGGCAGAGGCAGGAGGATCTCTGAGACTTCAAAGCCAGCCTAGTCTACATAGTGAGTTCCAGGCCAGCTGAGGCTACAGAGAGACCCTGTCTCAAAAAGACCGGAAAAAAAAAAAAAAGAAGAAGAAGAAAAGCAGGTCTGGTGAGATGGCTCAGTGTATAAAAGCACTTGTTGAGCAAGCCTGAGATCTGAGTTTGATCCCCAGAATGTACAGAGGAAGGAGAAAATCAACTGCCAGAAATTGTCCTCTGACTTCCACACGTGTGCCTACATGCGCGTGCTTGCACACACACACACACACACACACACACACACACACGCATACACACATACACACATGCACACACAAATAAACAAGAAAAATGCAAACTGAGAAGCGCATGCCTGTAGTTCCATCACTCAGGACACTGAGGCAAGAGGATGTCAAGTTTGTATTTTTTTCTTTTTTGAGAATTTCATACATGAGTATCGTATTTACTTCATTTCTACCCCTCCCACTTCCTCCCTCCGACTCTCCACCTCCCACCCTTTCAATTTCTTGTCCTCTTCTTCGTTGTTACATATACAAACATACATATTTATAAATATGAAATACGCTGAGTCCATTTAGTGGTGCTCACATGTGCATGTGTTGGGCACCAATCACCACTTGGGATTAGATAATCTCTCGAGGAGCTGGTCTCTGGAGAAAACTGATTTCTCCTTCCCTCAGTATCCATTGATTGTCTGTAGCTCTTCATCTAGACATGGGATCCTGTGAAATTTCCTCATCTGAGTTGACATGTGAGCTGGTGGTGTCATTATGCAGGTCTTGTTTAGGCAATCTCCATGTTGTGGAGGTTTCCTAAGTACAGCTTTCCTGTCATGTCCAAAACATACTTCCTTGCAGCAGGTATTCTGGTTCCCTGACTTTCTTTTATAAAAGGTTCTCAAGTTTTAGACTAGCCTGAGTTCTGTAGTAAGACTCTGTTTCAAAAAAAAAAAAAAACAAGCAACACTGGAAACTTGTGAGATGGCTCAGTGGGTAAAGTGCTTGCTATGCAAGAACCTAAGTTTGGATGTTCAGCACCTACCTGTAATCCCAGCATAGTAGTAGGAGTGGGGTGGAAGAGACAGGAGGTCCCAGTAGCTGACTGGATAGCCAGTCTAGCTAAAGTGATAAGCCTAGGTTCAGTGAGAGACTGTCTCAAAAATTAAGGTGGATGAGGCTGGAGAGATGGCTCAGCAGTTAAGAGCACTGGTTGCTCTTGCAGAAGACCTGGGTTCAGTTCCCAGCACCCACACAGCAGCTCACAACTGTCCTTAACTCCAGTTCCAGGGGTTAAAGCTGGCGCTTTCTTCTGACCTCCCCAGGCATTGCATGACACTGATGCACTTACATACATTCAGGCAATACACATAACATAAAAATAATAAATAAGGTGAATGGTGTGGGGGTGGGGCAGATGCCCAAGGGACGGATATGAGTAAAATTACATTATATGCACGTATGATAGTCCCAAAAGAATAAAATTAAAATAAGGTAGAGAAACAATTAAGGAAGATATCCTAATGTCAACCTCTGACCTCAGCACATGCACTTGCAGAGGTGAGCACAGCTACACACATGTGCATGCACACACATAAGCACAAGTATCCCTGCTGGACATGCCTGTAATCCTAATACTTATGAGGTAGAGGAAGGAGGTTGAGAAATTCAGGGTCATCTTTAGGTACACAGAGTCAGAGACCAGCCTGTATGAGACCCTGTGTCAGAAGATAGAAGGGGCTGGAGACATGGCTCAGTGGTTAGGAGCACTTGCTGCTCTTGCCAAGGACCCAGGTTCAGTTCCCAGCACCCACATGACAGCTCACGACTGCCTGTAACACTGGTTCCAGGGGGATCCAACACCCTCTTCTGACTTCTGAGGGCATTGCACGCATGTGGTGCACTTATATACATGCAAGCAAAATACTCATACATGTAAAATAAAAATAAATAAACCTTTAGCACTTGGGAAGCAGAGGCAGGCAGATCTCTGTGAGTT